GTACTCAACATCTTCGTGCTCAAGTTTGCGTCAAAAACCCTAAACCCTAAACCCTAAACCCTAAACCCCAAACCCCAAACCCGAAACCCTAAACCCTAAACCCTAAACCCTAAACCCTAAACCCTAGACCCTAAACCCTAAACCCTAAACCCTAAACCCTAAACCCTAAACCCTAACCCTAAACCCTAAACAATGTGCACTGGTACGACGACCCCACAGACGTCCTCGTTGTTGTGCCCACTGGCTAAAAGCGCCCAGGCATCCATCATCTGCTGGTCCATGCCTCGTACAGGGGAAGGCTTCCCAAACAGCCCAATATCCCATGATTAGGGAATATTGCTTAGTTTATACAGGGATCCTTCACATGATTTAAGGGCATGTTCCTTGATTAAGGGGATGTTGGGCTCTGTGGGCGCGCAGTCATTTCCAGTAGCGGGAAGTAAAGTTGACACCGTCCCATGTCCAAAGGGATTACACGGCCGGGTCATGAGGAGCTGGGCCATCCACCATTTCTGGTTTTGCTGCAGCTACTGCTTCAAAAGCCCGAGCCAGGATGCCTACCCAAAACAGCTTTGTTAAAGGGGTATAAGGAGGGACCCCTACAAGGGGCCCCTAATCTTATTCCTTATATAACCCCTGCATATAATATACCTTGAATACTTTATACAGCTCAATAACCCCCTAAAGAACCCCTAAGGTCTCTTATAAGGGTCCCTCCTTAAGTCCCTCAACCCGAGGGTTGAGGGGCATGATCAGTTCGCCACATGATAGCCCCTTCGAAGGACCATGGAGGGCTCATGCTATGAGGGACCTAGGACCTCGGTAGGGATCGCGCAATTCAAGAGACCTGCTCTAGGATTAGGATCCAGGGCCCCAGGCTTCGAAAGGCCCTAGGTTTAGGGTTTGGGGTTTGGGGTTTGGGGTTTGGGGTTTGGGGTTTGGGGTTTGGGGTTTGGGGTTTGGGGTTTGGGGCTTAGGGTTTAGGGTTTAGGGTTCAGGGTTCAGGGTTCAGGGTTCAGGGTTTAGGGTTTGGAGCCTAATCCCCTAAACTCTCCTCCCCCCCCTCAAGGCGTCCAAGTCGCGGTTCACGAACATGGAATGCTTGGGTCCCGGAGTCATCCCCTGGAAGACAAACCTTAGGATCAGCAAAATGTAGGGTTTAGGGTTTGGGGTTTAGGGTTTGGGGTTTAGGATTTAGGGTTTAGGGTTCAGGGTTTAGGGTTTAGGGTGTAGGGTTTAGGGCTTAGGGCTTAGGGTTTAGAAATACTGGGGGTGCTCCAAGGCCTTTGGGTCTCTGACGTCTGAGTTCAAGGGCCTTACGGATCTCAGGCTTCTAAAGGGGGAGGTCAGGCAGCGTCTGCGAATACATTGACTTGATGAGTTGATCACCTGGTGAGCCGGCGTCTCAAAACCTTAAGCCCAAGCCGGCCTAAACCCCGAAAACCCCGAAAACCCGAAACCCTAAACCCCAAAAACCCCGCAAAACCCGAAACCCTGCGTCGAAAAACCAACAAAAGATGAACCATCCTAGCGCGGGCCGGAGGAACACTGGCGTGATGTTCACGCGCCTGAAGCCTTCGAGCTCCTAGACGTAGAAGAACAAGAACCGGGGTTTGGTTGTGCAGGGCTGTTGGCTTCTTTTTGGCTCGCTTGGATTTCTTTTTTGGGGTTTAGGGTTTTGGGTTTTAGGGTTTTAGGGTTTTAGGGTTTAGGGTTTAGGGTTTAGGGTTTAGGGTTTAGGGTTTAGGGTTTAGGGTTTAGGGTTTAGGGTTTAGGGCTTAGGGTTTAGGGCTTAGGGTTTCGGGTTTCGGGTTTCGGGTTTCGGGTTTCGGGTTTCGGGGTTCTGGGCCTAGGGCTTGGGGCTGAAGCTCCGCCGACCCAAGGCCCTCTCCTTGTCCACGAAGCCGAAGATTCCGGGGGGTATTCCACCCAAAGCGTCGGCCAAGGGATCTTTCAGGGCCTTGGCATGATATGATATTGCTATTGCTACTTTTAGGGTTTAGGGTTTAGGGTTTAGGGTTTAGGGTTTAGGGTTTCGGGTTTAGGGTTTAGGGCTGCTTTCTGCTTACTTCTGACTACTTAACTCTGCTCACTCTACTTGCTACTTGCCTACGACCTGCAAAGATTTGCTCCTTCCTCCAACCTCGAACTATGTAGTCCTTCCACCAACAAATACCAACTCCTACATTCCACTTCTGCTTCCGTTCTTGTTCTTTTTCTACGCTTCTCAATGTGGGCCGAGCGGTGTCCAAGGGCTTTGTTGTTGAGTTTGGGATTTCGGGGCCCCTTGCAGCTCCCACACCCAGAGAATCCCTGGAGTGACCGTCCTGTTCCGCAGAGCATACCTCGAGAGTCCAATCGCATCCCTAGAGTGCCTTGCAAACTAGGGCGAGTATGTTTGAAGTAACGAAATGATGGCTTGAAGTTGTGGGCGTCTGCCCGCTTACACCGGCAGGCGCACGCTGACAGATGCCCGTGTCTCTCGTGTGCGCTTGCTGCTGCGTGTTCCATGGCAGAGTTCGTATGGCCCTCCTAGGATTTAGGGTTCAGGGACTTCGCCGAAGGGCCTGAATGGACCGAAGCCAATGCACAGCATCCAGACCAAGTCGTTGTCCACGCAGCGCCTTGACATATCTACGCAAGTATGGAAACAGCTCACGCGCACTGCAACCATGCCACACGGATGCCTTCAGTGCGTAGGCTTAGGCTTGCACAGGCCTGGCCCGCATCTTCAGTTCCATGCAGGAGCACAAGCGCGCTGCGCAGCACGCGTCAACCGCTCATCCTAACCCCACTCGGTCCAATGATGAGTCCGCCTCGAGGCCGCTTTGAATGATGAGCTTCTCTTCCTGAGGTGTTAAGGGTTTAGGGTTGAGGCTATGGTTTAGGGTTTAGAATGGGTTTAGACGGCCTAAGCACTAAAGCCACCCAAGGCCTTCCGCATAAACACAAGAAGCCCCGAAAAGCCCCACACTCCTACCTCCAACCTCCCAAGACCCTGGACCCTAAAACCCCCTAGACCCTTAAACCCTTACACCCTGAAACCCCTAAAACCCTAAAACCCTAAAACCCTTAAACCCTAAAACCCTAAAACCCTAAAACCCCCTAGACCCTTAAACCCTTACACCCTAAAACCCCTAAACCTGGCCTCTTCCACTCTGTCATTGCAGTCGAAGCTTCGTGCAGGTGCGACTGTAGGTGGCGGACCCTCATCTCCAACTAGCCCAGGCCAGCCATCTCCTTGGGACGCTTTGTAGGGTTTAGGATTCAGGGTTTAGGGTTTAAGGTTTAGGGTTTAGGGTACGGCTTACCTAGACGATGCTCTAAAGACAGTTCGAGGCTATTGAGGCGTGGTACTTCCCCGAAACACTGGTGGCGCTTCGGCTCCTTTGCTGTTGGGGGCTCAGTCCGTGTTCACTCGTGGACATGATTGAAGATACCGCAATACATGGAAATATCACCACCCAACATGCAAACGACCATCACGGTCCCAAAACAACAGTACAAACAGGTTTAAAATGTTGAGTTCCAATGCTCAAACATCCAAGACCCTCTCAGGACAATTTTGGATCCCTGAGTCGCGAAGACTCACAGGGCTCTCAACATTGGGTTCAATCTTGGGCTTGGGGTATTGAGTGCAGGGTTTATCTGGTTTTTCGAGAGTCGAGAGGGCCTTGTAGTGCAATATTCTTTCAGTACAAATACGCGCTTGCCTGACCGGCGACTCTACAAGTAGGGAGGGCTTAGGGCTTTTCTGCTTCTAAGATTCTGCAAACGCTGCAACGCGGCTGAAACCCTGTCTCTAGTTCTCAAAGGCAGCCAAGCCGCACTTTGGCATGGCAAGCCACTCTTTGGGGCCAGGGATAAGCACCCAAACAAACCTCCCAAGCGCTTGTCAAGCGCTTGGAAATCTTAGGGACCCCACTGAAGGGGCGTCCCTGAAGCGAGGTGGTTAAGAGTTGGCTTGGCTGCTCCCGAGTCTTCGAAGCGATTTCAGGCTACTTGCGGTGCCTGTAGCTACAGTGAAGCACCTTGCCTGTGACCAGGTTGCTGCTGCCTACACGTAAGCAGTCGCAATGAAAATGGGGGCCTGGTGTGCAAAAGAAGCTCGTGCTGTGACAGGTGGCACGCCCTACTTCTCATGGGCCGATAGTGCTGCGAAGAGATCACGGTCAGGAACCAGCAAGCGGTCGGCAATTCGGTTGAGGTCATGTGGGAGTTAAACATCAGAGACGTGTTTATAAGGAATCCCAAAATGAACATTACCTGTAAGGAAACCACTGCAAACTCGAAGATAGAACTGACAAGAACCACCCCGAGGAGAGCTTCTTTTAACACCTCTTTGCTATGGTGGGCATGGCTTCTGGATGCAGCAGCACGCGGGTTTCACGGGGACTGCTGAAGTGAAACTTGCCATTGCCAGACATTATCGAGCCCCCCTGGGAGACCGAGCTTTCGGGCTCTCCGAGAACTTAGACCTTTGCATAAGCTTCGGCTACCTGATGCGCCACTTGAATTCCCATCCTTTCGTACACTCAGATTCCCAACTCGACAGGCTCAGTCGGATTCTCTGGATACCGGCCGGGCCTGCTTCTCGACTTTCGGCTGCTCTCGGATGAAGCACTTCATGGGGATCACGCCCTTGCCGTCGTTCATCTTGCGCAGGAGGATCTCCACCTTCCAGAAGAGCTGCTGCAGCTCCGCGGTGTCGCTGGCCTTCCCGCTGAGCTCGTGCATCTGCTGCTTCAGGTCACTCAGCTTCCGGTCCAGGCGCTCCACGCAGGCGCCCCCCCTCTCCTCCCCCGAGCACAGCAGCTGCATGAGGTCGGGATCATCCAGGCGCTCGGGCACCGAAGCCAGCTGCTGGAAGTTCGTGCCGCTGAAGGACACCCCCATGGAGCCGATGCTGCGCTCGACCGCCTGAAGCCCATGCTCCAGGTCGTGGAGCAAGATATCCAGCTCCTTGTACCTCCTGTCCTCTTCGTGCCAGATCTGCTGCAAAGCATTATTCACATCTCCGGCTAGATCCGTCTGCTCTTGGCGGCACGCGTCGAGCATGCTGGAGATGTTGCGGAGTGTGATTTCGACGGCGTCGCAAACCTCGTCCGACACGCGCCACTGGCTCTCCGACATCGTCATGCCCTGCTTTGCATCAAAGCCCGGCATGTCTGCCATGTTGTTGGACACGAAGGCAGAACGCTGCTGCTGTTTCTCAGCCGCCTCTTTGTTCCGTGCTTCAGTTTTTATCATTTCCAGAGACTCTTCCGCCAAGTCCAGATTCTTAAGCATGGTGTTCTGGATGTGCCCAGTCACCCTGATGGCATCGGACAGTGTGATGTCAACCTGCTGCGTCCTCTCTTTGACAGAGTCTGCAGTCTGCTTCACCAGGTACTCAGCATTGATTCTCGACATGCCATAGCGCTCAAAGGCGCGTTTCAACGATCTGACGGTGACCACTTCTGCCGGGTGGGCCGGGAAGTCATCATCTTCCAACTGCACAATCAAGATCCACATTTCAACAAACCCTCGGGTTTCGCGGGCAGTTGCCGCTGCACCTTTAATCTGCTGAAACAAAGTCAATGGCTTTCCCGAAGCTCCCTTGATAGAGTAGTAGGAGTCGAAAACAATGCAGTACAGCATATTCAGCATGACCTGTTGTACCAGGACCTGGTAGGTAAGTGTCCACACAAAGCACACGACCTGGACCGGGATGGAGAAGTCTTGTACCATATCGGCATTCAAGCTGGAACTCCAGCACATGAACAGCGACCCCAGCATCGTGCTCCAGCCCTTGATCTTGTGCCCCAGGAGAAAATGCCCTGCGAAGGCGTAGCTGCAAAAAATGGCAAAGAAGACGATGGCAAAGTGCGCCACATTCACAGAGCAATGAACGATGGTTTGCACCACAACATCCAGACGCGGGTTTGCTTGGAATGACTTGAAGAACTTTAAGATCAAGATGAAGAAGTAACCAAAGAAGCACGCTCTCAAAAGCAAGTGCCAATCGTAGACTTCTCGGGCCACAACGAACATGCGATTGATGTTGACATTGAGGTCCCTCGGGTCGACAACCTCTGCCAGTTCCTCCAGGCCCAGATACGTCATGTTCCGCAGGACTCGGGCATCCAGCGCGGCCTGCGGAATCTCTGCGATGGCAGCAGGAAGGCGAACAGACATCTGAACCAGGACGTAGAACCACATACCGACGTTGAAGAGGCCGGTCAAGATTGCCAGCCAGTCCACCACGTTCCAGAATCCGAGGTAGTCGCGGATCCCGTCAATGCCTCCAGCAATTGCAGGCAGCAGCTCCTTTGCCTCAACGTGAGCAATTCGGAGCAGGAGCGCCACAAACAGGATGTCAGGGATCACCGCCCATGGGTTCTTGTAGGGTTCTGCAATCCAGGACTCGAATCGAAAATACAGCTGTATGTAGCCGTCGGTCTGCGCATTCCACTGGAGGCGCTCGAATGTGACTAAGTTTAGCTGCGCATTGTAGAAGATTGTCTGATACTCTACAAGCTCCGTTTTGTAGTCAAACCAAAATGATTCTGTGAGATTGCGGATCGTTCGCTCATGCAGGGTCCTGTCCAAATGGTATGGGAGCACAATGTCCTCGTCCGTTTTGACACCATGTCGATCACACCGTCCCGTCAACGAGTTGAAAAGAAACGAGTTGTCCTCGCTCGCAGCACAAGGGCCCTCCTGTAAAAACTCTTTGTGCAGCCGCGGGCCACCGATGACCTGGTTATAAATTGCCACCCTGCCCGGGAAGGGATCCGAAACCAAGTCTTGTCGAAAATACTTCGACACCCATTGGTCGAGGGTCCACTGCATATGCTGCATGGCTCCTTTTCTGTTGGCGACCTTGGTGGCTTTCCACAGCGTGTCCAAGTTGTTGAACAGCGTGTTGCCGGTTCTCCAGGCGCTAGTGGTATCAACGTGCGTTGTTATGAAGTAGATGTAGGAGAGCAGAAGGAAGAAGACTGTGGGCATAGAGTAAAGTGCACTTGTGGTCTCATACTCTTCCTTCAACCAAGCCAGCAGATCAGCTCGGTCACATTCGTTCTGCTTCATCTCTTTTGGCCCCTTGCCCAAGGATTCCTTCAGGAAGTTGAATGCCACTTGGCCCGTTGTAAGCGCCTTCAAGAATTCGTCGGCGGACACCGTGCCGCTGTTGTCCTTGTCTGCGTCCTCGCACAGGTCCTGCAAGTATTGCTGCGAGACCTTGACATTTTGGACTTGAGTCAGAGCAAAGCACTCGCTTCGGGTAATATAGCCCTTCTCGCCAGGATCCAGGATGTCGAAGACTGCCTGCACGTCTGCAAGGGTTATGTTGTGCAGATTTCCATTTGCAATCTTGTCCCATATCTTCAGCTTCTGAAGCAGTATCTTCGTCTCCACAGAAAGCTGCGGGATGTCTGGATCGTCCATTCCAGCACAAGCCGAGAGGAGGCCGGAGGCCGCCTTGTGAAGTCTTTTTTCTTTTTAGTGAAGAGAAGCTGCGGTACGATGCAAAAACCCAAGCTGCGGTAACGTTCAGTAATGTGACGCTTCCTTCAAGTTGCTGCCGTTGAGTTCCTGAATTTCTCAAAGATGCTGCGGAGATTGCTTTCGAAAGTCGTGTTCCCAGCAGTTGCAAAAGCCCACGGCTGGTTCATGTGGACTGCTCAAGAGACCTGCTGTGCCCTCACAGGGAAGGACTGCCTTGGCTGAGGCTGGCACGAGGCTGTTCCACTGTGTGTCCATGGAGGGCCTCAGAAACCCCTAAACCGAAACCCTAAACCCTAAACCCTAAACTTCTACACAAGTTGCTGTGGAAGCCGCACCGGGTTTAGGCTTGAGGCGTCTTGGGTTCAAATCTTGTAGGGGGCTTGCTTTCGCACGTCCCTAGTGTCCTGACAACTTAGAGGTTTTTGGGATTGGGGATTTGGGGCTCTAGTGATTTTCAGATCTAGGGTTTCCTGCACCCCATGCACAGACACCTTGAACTCCTCAACAAGGGGTCTGGGTTCTGGACACAGGGACGTGGTGGACTTCGAAGCTAGGCAAGTCCGCGCCCGGCCCAAGTGGCCGGCCAACATATACCTCAAAGAGGCTCTGGGATCGTTCGCACATGTCCAATTCGACATGTGGGGTTCTTGTTACAATCCGTGGTCTTGCCAGAACTTTGAGAAGAGAAGTAACCCCCCCCCCCCCCGGCAAAAGATATACATAGTCTAGAAGCTTGTCCGTGCTGGTACGAAAGGAGAAAAGGTCGTCCTCCTCCTCCTCCTCCTCCTCCTCCTCCTCCTCCTCCTCCTCCTCCTCCTCCTTCTCCACGTCTACTATCTGGGCCCCAAATAGAGCATGAAGAGGAGTGCGCTGTCCGATACAATCACCTGTAGAATCATGACGGAACAAAAACCCATGCACTAGCCTTCCAAGAGAAAACCTACCAGTTCACATGGTTGTGAAGCACCCTACAGACTTACACCGACAATCTTTTGTAGATCACAAGACTGCACATGTTGTTCTCTGTGGAAAATTCCAGCTGGAGCTCTGCCGTGTGAACAACTCCATCCGACCGTCCTACAAGCTGAAAAAGAAAGACTTTCAACAGCGCCTCCCATGAATGCAGGGCATTCCCCTCTAGCCGGCCTGCCCCCTACGACTCCTGTCCTTTTTTAAGGCGGAAATTCTGGTCCTCCTCTGAAGGCTCTTCTTTCCAAGCCGGCAGCGAATAACCCGTGCAGCCTAAAATCTGTGCATAGAACCCTCGTTATGGCTATGTAAAGATTGTCAGCTTCTGCGGAGGAAAGTGACACTTGCTAGAACGTTGCTGAGATCAAATACTTACACAGTTGAGATGAAGGATCACCTTGCAGCATGGGGATCTAGTCTGAAACTTAAGGGATGCATATCCTGCTGATCTGCTTGGGATTGTCTTATAGCTACCCGCTACAGAAAGAGAGCCGTGTGCGTTTGTGGTGCTCGCAGCTTGCGAGCAATAGCGCAAAGTAGTTCGCACCTGGTCGTTGGTGACGAGCAACTGCTAATTATAAATTGTAATCATTTGTAATTTGTAACTTGGGGATTGCCGAAATAGGGGGGGGGGTACCCTTTTTGGGGTCCTTTTTAAGGGGATTCTAGTCTCTTTGGGATTAAAAGGGGCGCCCCTTATTTCGGAGATGCCCACTTATTAGTAGCCCCGTAACGCTCCTTAACTCTCAACAAGCCAAGGCCGGAACTACGGAGACGTTGAAGGGCGGCATCGGGTTCCTGGAAGGCCAAGCCCAACATAGCAACAAGCGCATCTTAGATGGGCCATGGGCGCTTGCCTGTCTGAGCGCAGAGGTTCAACATGCTTCCTGTGCACACCGAGGCTCAGGTGAAAGAAGTAGCCAGCCCACTTGCGCTCCACAAGGCAGTGGCTTGGATCCTGTGCAAACAAAGTCGCCACCGACAACGACATGCTTCCTTCCACGAGGCTTCGGCGTAAAGAGTGAGCTTGGCCCCGCAGAAAGGCTTCCTGCAAGAGCTTGCAAGCACAACACCACAGCCAGATGCCCCCATGTCCCCACACAAGCTCCGTTCTGGGGAGCAGGCGGTGTGAGGAGGTAGGGGGAGACCTGCGATCTGGCCGGGCTGCTTCTGAATGTCAACCATTTCCCCCAATGAGTTCCTCCCCGACCAAAGGTCATGAGAACATGTCTGGCCTGTACTGAGATGAAGAGGTTAGACAAGCGGGTACCGCGGCTGGTAGCCGCTTGCAACAGCCTCTAGGCAGCTGAGGACAAGGGGTTCCAGGTTGCTTGACCTTGTGCTTGAACGGCGATGGGGTGGATGTGGCTGGGAGTAGAAAATTCCCGTCGACACTGTCTTCGAGTTGACTTGGACAAGTCCAAAAGAGCGTGAGCAAGGACCTCGACAGAAGCTGTGTTCCTTTATGCCAGTTGACCAGGTCTCCTCAAGACGCAGGGGCCTCTGGAGGCCCTTTGTTTTGTCCTGAAATGGCACCTCTTGATCATGCCCTCTGCAGAAGAAAACAAGAGATGCCCTACTGATAGAAGGCGGGAGGGAGCAAGACGAGCCCCGGTCCCCTATATGGAGAGCAAGACATATCAAGACGGCCGGCCTCCATTCGCAAGTGCATCGAAACTTCATAGGAGACAGAAGGAGGGCCCCGCCTTCCCCCCGCCCCCACCACGCATTGGACCGATGTCTCCAGCAAGTAACAAGAAACCACTCGGGGCCCCGAAGAAGGGAACCCTAAACCCTAAACCCTAAACCCTAAACCCTAAACCCTAAACCCTAAACCCTAAACCCTAAACCCTAAACCCTAAACCCTAAACCCTAAACCCTAAACCCTAAACCCTAAACCCTAAACCCTAAACCCTAAACCCTAACCCTAAACCCTAAACCCTAAACCCGAAACCCTAAACCCTAAACCCATGGAAGCTGGAGCTGGTGCTGAGAGGAGCTGGTTATTCGTGATGGGAACACAAGATGCAGGCGGCTGACTCCTTGGGCTTCTCACTTAACTCGCAAGCTTGACGTCATCCTCCAACAAGTCTATGATTTCCGTTCCCTTTGTACACATAGTATCTATATATATATATATATATATATATATATATACACATATATATACATATATATATATACATATATATATATATACAAATTTCTTGGCATGCGACCTACCGGCACCGGAGCCACAACCGAAAATGCTAGACGAAATGTGATACTTCATCGTCGACTGGATTGTCCAGCAAATGGCTCGCTTCTTTTCACATGTTCTTCAAATACTTATGCGGTGTTAGTGCGTGGTTGCTGTATTTTGACTGATAGATTCATTTTACATATTATTGTTGTTATTGCTATATTGTTAACATTTTCTTTATTCAATGCTTTTCGATCAATAATAATCAGGTAGATTCTCCTTATCCAATGCTTTTCGATCAATGATAGGCAGATTCAACGACGATTGTTGTGGTCTCGATTGTAACGCTGTGCAAGGGACAAAAGCTGCCAAGGAGCTGCAAAGGAGATGCGTCGCGTCTGTGGGCCCCTGTCACGTCTCCTTGGCCACACAAGCGGAAGTCAGACTCTTGGAGTGCCAAGGCCATGTCGGAGGTGTTCGGAGGTGATGCTGAGCGTACGGCTGTGTGCCCAGCCTCAAGCATCCAAATGCTGACACAGCTTGGGGCTGAATAAGGATAATAACAATAAGAAGAAATAGAATATGAGCTTTTCACGAATCTCGATACCCCCAAGCCTCCGAACTCATCCAGGAACTCTGCGGACGTTCCAAGTGGAACCTCAGCTCGGCAAAGGCACAACCGCGAGCGTGTCCCTCCGATCCACAGAAAGGGGTGCTCGGGCGGGGTCCGGGATGACTTCAGAGAGGGACTCGCAGACCTTGAAATCCGGATGCAGCGGCCTCGGAGTAGCGGTGTTGCTCTCTTGAGATGCTGTGCGCTTGCAGGGCTAATTGGAACTCGCCGCCAAAAGCCTCAAAGGAACATGCTGTGGCAAGGGCGCGTGGGAGAGTGGAGCTGGCATCTGGAGTAACCTCATGATTGTGCACCATAGATGAACTGTGCATCCATGGAAGCACGCTTAACTGCGGGTTCGTGGTTTGCACATCCGCAACTTTTTGCGCTTTCCACGAGTGCTCCGAGCTGTTGCATATGCTATACTTGCCAGCTCGTTTAGGGACGAGGGCTTGCGCTATGCCCGCTCCTGCAAGCACCAGCAGTAGGACTGAAACGTTGTGACCTTTGGAGCCCCCCTGTCACGATTCTACCCACATCCTCAACCCTCCAAGCCCTATAAGTGCGAGTCTGGTAGCATGCTGAGGAATTCCGGCTTCAATGTCAGCCCATCCAAGGAATCTCGGAAGACGTCCACCTTTGGCTTTTTTGGGGGGCCTGGGCTCTCGAGCTCTTTGTTAGGGGTTCTAGGGTCAGGGTTCGTGAGGTTCGAGTTCCAAAAGGTTCTCGGAGGTCCTCTGTGAATGTACTTCTGCGCCCTGCCCTAGCTGTCTTCGTGGTGGGTAAAACGAGGCAAGCCCCCTTTTGATAGGATGAGGATGGTGAAAATTTTGCGCCCCCTTAGTGTCTCTGCTGATATTCTAGTCCTTATAGCTTAAGGTACCCTCATATAGAAAAACACGGACATCGGGAAGCTTACGCCACAAACCCTAAACCTACTGGACCTACTCGTGTGCCACATGGTTCTGAGCATGCGGCAGTCCAGGGCGAACCCTCCGCCAAATGTTCATTTGTGTCTGCGGCTCCTGCTCATACAAGCTTCACGGACCGTTTTTTACGTCACTTTGGGGGTTCAGGGTTCCGGTTTGGGTTCAGGGCTTAAGGCTTTAGGGTTTAGGGTTGGGTTTAAAGTCGAGTCTAGGCCTGCTCTCAGCAGCTGAGGGCTCAGAATGGATGGGCCTGCCGGCGTAAGCTCCCGTGGCACGTAGTTGGGCGCACGGAACATCAGGCTCATGTCCTCACGTGGAAGGGATACTAATGGAGATACGATGTGACCCATTCATTGTCCATGCAAGCATACATGAAAAGTCTGCTGGTCTGCTGGGTCTTCTCACCACCTACAGACCCTGCAGACACTTCAGACTTCGGGGTTAATCTGGCCTAGCAAGCAGCTCTGTCATGAGGCTACCATATGCTACCATCACTTGATCTGGCAGCCACTAGCCGCACTAGCAGTATGATGATGACAACAGGACAACGAACCGTCGGGACGCAGACTCACTCGCACAGAAGCGAGCAGACATGCCGAGCCAAGTGTGACAGCCTTGCAAGTGCATCTCAGCGCTCATCATATACAGGTTTCCACCAAACGGCCTACACATATTTCCGAAGCTCCTCTGCCAAAGACCGCACGAAGTCGAGAGCCATGGACATGAAGCGGTGCACCTCAAGCCCAAGCCAGCTCTCTAAAGTGTGGACCTTTCTTGGGCGCGCGCGCGCGCATGTGTGTCTGTGCGTGTATCCATGTATGCACATAGATACATGTGTACACATAGCAAGCTCTCTATATATATATATATATATATATGTGTGTGTGTGTGTACATATACGGAAAAGTATATATATATATGCATATATATATATATACACATACATACATACATACATACATACATACATACATACATACATACATACATACATACATACATACATACATACATACATACAGACATACAGACATACATACGTATACGCACATATGCACATATACACTATCCCAATTGGAATGGCAAGCCCAAAATGGTACCGTAAGTTCGAGAACAACCCACATGCGAGGCGCGGCGCAACGCCCTCGACCGAGGAGAAGGTGGCCGCCTGGCTGCGGCATCTCCGAACCTATCCTAAACCCTGAACCCTGAACCCTAAACCCTAAACCCGAAACCCTAAACCCTAAACCCTAAACCTTAAACCCTAAACCCTAAACCCTAAACCCTCCACGAAGAACCTGAACTCAAAAGCCAAGGGTAGGAAAAGCAACAAATGGGCGTTGGATTCCCCGTTTCCGAGCACCCTGAGCCCTAAACTAAACCCTAAACCCCCTAACCCTAAACCCTAAACTCTAAACCCTAAACCCTAAACCCCCTAAACTCCTTCCGCTCCGCCTCCATGCGGCCCCCGCGCCGCAAGGACTCCAGCGCCCAAACTTCCATACCTCCGCCAGAGTTTCGGGCTTAGGGCTTAGGGTTTAGGGCTGAGGGTTTAGGGTTTAGGGTTCAGGGTTTAGGGTTTAGGGCTTAGGGTTTAGGGTTTAGGGTTTAGGGTTTAGGGTTTAGGGTTTAGGGTTTAGGGTTTAGGGGTTAGGGGTTAGGGTTTAGGGTTTAGGGTTGGCTGGAGACCCTGAAACAAAGGACAATGTACCGCAATGCGAAGTCGAGACTCAAACAAACGAAGACCCAAGCCCACAACCGAAGTCAGAAACCCCAAGCCCCTCAACGGCTTAACCCTCTTGCCCCACTACTGAAACCCCAACCCCTTTAGCATTGAAGTCATGGCCCACTGCATGTGAACATCCTACCTATAAAATGGTTCGTATTAAGTCGTGGTAAGTGGCTGGTAATCGGAGGAAGGGACGACTTGAAGGTTCTTTGGGAGCAGAAAGGCCGGGCTACAAGTACCACGTAAGAAAGATGGGGTACCTTCATGAAGGGCTCTGGCAAGGATACCTGAGCCGCAACCCGTAATGATAGAACCCTCAACAAGTACATAAGGGATGGCCTAGGCCCAGGCCTTGCATGCAAGGGACCTAAAACTACCCTAAACTCTAAACTTGCCCTAAACCCTAAACCCTAAACCCTAAACCCTACACCCAAGAAACCTGAAAGCCCTGAACCCACCGGGGCCCGCGCGCAGGACCAAGCCAAGGAACTCCTGCTCAGAGGCCAACCAGGCGCCAGAGATCTCAGCCGCGTCACTTTGAGGGGGCGTTTGGGGGGTTTAGGGCTCAGGGCTTAGGGTTTAGGGTTTAGGGGTTTAGGGTTTAGGGGTTTAGGGTTTAGGGTTTAGGGTTTAGGGGTTTAGGGTTTAGGGTTTAGGGTTTAGGGTTCAGGGTTTAGGGGTTTAGGGTTTAGGGTTTAGGGGTTTAGGGCTTAGGGGTTTAGGGTTTAGGGCTTAGGGCTTAGGGCTTAGGGCTGAGGGCTTAGGGGCACAGGATGAAGGCTTCTGTCTCCATTGACTGCGACTCTAAGGGCGGGCTACCCTACATTCCCAGAACAAACTCCTGCATCCTAAACCTAAACCCCAAACCCTAAGCCCTGAACATCCTAAACCCTAAACATCCTAAACCCTAAGCATCCTAAACCCTAAACGTCCTAAACTCCAAACCCTAAACCCTAAACATCCTAAACCCCAAACACCCGAAACCCTACACCCTAAGCCCCAAACCCTAAACATCCTAAACCCTAAACATCCTAAACCCTAAACCCTAAACATCCTAAACCCTAAAACCCTAAACCCTTAACATCCTAAACCCTAAACATCCTGAACCCCCCCCCCCCTTTAAACCTCAAAGGCCATCCCCAAGTCCTTCGAACAGAGGGCTCCCCGGCTTCTGCCAGCGCTTCTGGGGTGTAGATCTCCGTACCTCCACTCCTGCCAGGGAAGTAGGGCCGTTCAGCAGGTTTGGGGTTTTTCGGGTTTAGGGTTAGGGTTTAGGGTTTAGGGTTTAGGGTTTAGGTTTAGGGTTTAGGGTTTAGGGGTTAGGGTTTAGGGTTTAGGATGTTTAGGGTTACGCAGCTGATGCAGCTTCAGCGGGTGCATTAACCAACAGCTTCAGTGACGAGTGCCACTTCTCGAAAACCCTAAATTTTCAGCAGCTGTTAAAAGTCAATAACTTATTTACATTTTGTAATTGACATTGTATTTAGTTGTATGTCTTATTGCGTGCAATAAAACCAGTAAGCAACTAAGTATCACAATGACGCACCAAATAGAACTTGATGGGCAGGCCAACGCCTGGATCATCGGAGAAGTACTGAAGCATTGCCGGTTACTCTACATCAGGATCCCCTTGCAGGTCTTTGCCTTTGCTTGAGGAACGCCGAACAGGGGTCCCTACTATGAAGTAGTTTAGAACCTTCCTGATTCCTGAAAGGCTTGGGAGGTGGACTCAAAACATTTTGTATAGTCTATGCTGTATGGGTCCTTGCCAATTGTCGAACGTCAGCGAAGAAACGCTGGACAAACTTCGACGGTGTAAGATGCCTGGCAAGACTCTCGCGCATCTGGCAACGCGGAAAATTGCGCTGTCCCAGAAGGACCCACTACAAAAATGGACAGCAAAAGCCCGCATGTTCAGAAATTGCCTCGCACCTGATCTGTGGGGTTGGATGATGGAATTGGCCGGGGTACTTTAGACGCAGTCAGGACAAGCATTTGCGCGTTGGATCCGCAATTTACGTCTCAGAGCACGACTAAACCCTGAAAAGTCTGTTCCCCACCGCACCTCGATGTCAACTAGCCGGGAGGACTCTGGCAGCTCCGCAGAGTCTCTTTGTCCAGAGCCATCATCAAAGTCTGAGACAAACTCTCGAATGCCACCACATGTTTGGAAAGGTTAGTTTGCTAGGCTCTTGTGCGATTCGGCGAATGCCGTCCGCAATTTGGGTGCTGCGGCTCTGGGATTCGTGGCCGTGGGCTCGCACGGCACCCCGGCGGGGTCTTCGGGAACGGTAAGGGCTCTGGAGCCTTTGCCGTTGTTCCAAGCACACTTGCAAGAACCGCCTACGAGAAGCCTAAAGCTTGCAGCAAAGAACTCTTGATGAACGGACTCTGCCGTCTTCATGTACGGCCCTTGAGTAACTTTAGTAGCACTGGCAGTAGGTCCCCCCACGAGATGGACAGACCAGAGTGCCCAACGTCAACCGCAGGGACCTCATGGCAAACTCTGTCTGATGCATAGTCAAACGCACACCAACCCTACATGGGGGTTTGCGAATATAGGGGACCCCTAGAATAGACCCCCAACTAGTACGATCCCCTGACAACAAGGACCCCCAATAAGGTGCCCCGAATATCGTAAACCCCACATCCGAAACTGCCCATGTTCTGGGGCGCCCGCTCCAGCACACCAATGGCACTTTTGCCTTGGTCTGACTGCTGAGGGGCAAAGAAAATCATCTAGGGTTTAGGGTTTAGGGGTTAGAGTTTAGGGTTTTGGGCTTAGGGATGTTTAGGGTTTAGGTTTTAAGGTTTAGGGTTTAGGGTTTAGGGTTGAGGGTTTAGAGTTTAGGGTTTAGGGCGCTTCGAGGGAATAGGGTTGGGGTTCAGGGTCAAGGCTGAGGGTGTGGGATTCGGTACAGTCTACAGTGTGTGGACACTTGGCAAGGAAGATAGCCCGCAAGGGCGAATCCCCACTGCGCCGCAGGACGTCAAGTTGTCAAAGGCGACCCTGCGAAATGGCGCTCCCTCAAGAAAACCGCCAGGGCGAATGTAGTCAAGAATGCACGCTGGGGATGCCACTTCGCCTCAAACGCGGCCCCAACAGCATGTTACTGCCGCAAAGAGCGACGTGCGCCGCATGCCGAACGGGGAGTGTTGTATGCAGATTGCATGCAAACACTCAGCTACTGCGGGCTAAGCCTGATGCACGAAATTGTGGCATGTAAACCAGAACCTCACTATATGCTCATGATGCTCGCTTTGGGGCCCGACTCTGGAAGGACAGTCGCAGCTGATGCTCCTGATGTTCGCTTTGGGGGCCGTGCTTGTGAAGGACAGTCGCAGCTGATGCTCATGATGCTCGCTTTGGGGCTAGACTCTGGAAGGACAGTCGCAGCTGATGCTCCTGATGCTCGCTTTGGGGGCCGTGCTTGTGCAGGACAGTCGCAGCTGATGCTCATGATGCTGGCTTTGGTTGCCCAACTTCAGAAGGACAATCGCAGCTGATGCTCATGATGCTCGCTTTGGGGCCCGACTCTGGAAGGACAGTCGCAGCTGATGCTCCTGATGTTCGCTTTGGCGGCCGTGCTTGTGCAGGACAGTCGCAGCTGATGCTCATGATGCTGGCTTTGGCTGCCCAACTTCAGAAGGACAGTCGCAGCTGATGCTCATGATGCTCGCTTTGGGGGTAGACCCTGGAAGGACAGTCGCAGCTGATGCTCCTGATGCTCGCTTTGGGGGCCGTGCTTGTGCAGGACAGTCGCAGCTGATGCTCATGATGCTGGCTTTGGTTGCCCAACTTCAGAAGGACAATCAAAGCTGATGCTCATGATGCTCGCTTTGGGGCCCGACTCTGGAAGGACAGTCGCAGCTGATGCTCCTGATGTTCGCTTTGGGGGCCGTGCTTGTGAAGGACAGTCGCATGGTTGCCCAACTTTGGCTTTGGTTGCCCGGCTCTTAAAGGACAGTCGCAGCTGATGCCCATGATGCTCGCTTTGCTGGCTTTGGGGGGCGTGCTTGTGAAGGACGGTCGCAGCTGATGCTCATGATGCTGGCTTTGGTTGCCCGGCTCCTAAAGGACAGTCGCAGCTGATGCCCATGATTCATGATGCTCAGGATGCTGGCTTTGGTTGCCCGACGCCTAAGGGACAATCGCAGCTGATGCTCATGATGCTCGCTTTGGGTGAAGGACAGTCGCAGCTGATGCTCATGATGCTGGCTTTGGTTGCCCGGCTCCTAAAGGACAGTCGCAGCTGATGCTCATGGATGCTCGCTTTGGGGGGGCGTGCTTGTGAAGGACAGTCGCAGCTGATGCTCCTGATGCTCACTTTCGGGAGCGTGCTTGTGAAGGACAGTCGCAGCCGATGCTCATGATGCTGGCTTTGGTTGCCCAACTTCAGAAGGACAGTCGCAGCTGGTGCTCATGGTGCTCGCTTTGGGGCCCGACTCTGGAAGGACAGACGCAGCTGATGCTCATGATGCTGGCTTTGGTTGCCCGGCTCCTAAAGGACAGTCGCAGCTGATGCTCATGAGGGGGGGCGTGCTTGTGAAGGACAGTCGCAGCTGATGCTCCTGATGCTCACTTTCGGGGGCGTGCTTGTGAAGGACAGTCGCAGCTGATGCTCATGATGCTGGCTTTGGTTGCCAGGCTCCTAAAGGACAGTCGCAGCTGATGCTCATGATGCTCGCTTTGGGGCCCGACTCTGGAAGGACAGACGCAGCTGATGCTCCTGATGCTCGCTTTGGGGGGCGAGCTTGTGAAGGACAGTCGCAGCCGATGCTCATGATGCTGGCTTTGGTTGCCCAACTTCAGAAGAACAGTCGCAGCTGATGCTCATGATGCTCGCTTTGGGGCCCGACTCTGGAAGGACAGACGCAGCTGATGCTCATGATGCTGGCTTTGGTTGCCCGGCTCCTAAAGGACAGTCGCAGCTGATGCTCATGATGCTCGCTTTGGCGGGGGCCCGTGCTTGTGAAGGACGGTCGCAGCTGATGCTCCTGATGCTCACTTTCGGGGGCGTGCTTGTGAAGGACAGTCGCAGCTGATGCTCATGATGCTGGCTTTGGTTGCCAGGCTCCTAAAGGACAGTCGCAGCTGATGCTCATGATGCTCGCTTTGGGGCCCGACTCTGGAAGGACAGACGCAGCTGATGCTCCTGATGCTCGCTTTCGGGGGCGTGCTTGTGAAGGACAGTCGCAGCTGATGCTCATGATGCTCGCTTTGGGGGGGCGTGCTTGTGAAGGACAGTCGCAGCTGATGCTCCTGATGCTCACTTTCGGGGGCATGCTTGTGAAGGACAGTCGCAGCTGATGCTCATGATGCTGGCTTTGGTTGCCCGGCTCCTAAAGGACAGTCGCAGCTGATGCTCATGATGCTCGCTTTGGGGCCCGACCCTGGAAGGACACTCGCAGCTGATGCTCCTGATGCTCGCTTTTGGGGGCGTGCTTGTGAAGGACAGTCGCAGCTGATGCTCATGATGCTCGCTTTGGCGGGGCGTGCTTGTGAAGGACAGTCGCAGCTGATGCTCCTGATGCTCACTTTCGGGGGCGTGCTTGTGAAGGACAGTCGCAGCTGATGCTCATGATGCTGGCTTTGGTTGCGGGGCGTGCTTGTGAAGGACAGTCGCAGCTGATGCTCATGATGCTGGCTTCGGTTGCCCGGCTCCTAAAGGACAGTCGCAGCTGATGCTCATGATGCTCGCTTTGGGGCCCGATCCTGGAAGGACAGTCGCAGCTGATGCTCCTGATGCTCGCTTTCGGGGGCGTGCCTGTGAAGGACCGTCGCAGCTGATGCTCATGATGCTCGCTTTGGGGGGGCGTGCTTGTGAAGGACAGTCGCAGCTGATGCTCCTGATGCTCACTTTCGGGGGCATGCTTGTGAAGGACAGTCGCAGCTGATGCTCATGATGCTCGCTTTGGGGCCCGACCCTGGAAGGACAGTCGCAGCTGATGCTCATGATGCTCGCTTTGGGGCCCGACCCTGGAAGGACAGTCGCAGCTGATGCTCCTGATGCTCGCTTTCGGGGGCGTTCTTGTGAAGGACAGTCCCAGCTGATGCTCATGATGCTCGCTTTGGGGGGGCGTGCTTGTGAAGGACAGTCGCAGCTGATGCTCCTGATGCTCACTTTCGGGAGCGTGCTTGTGAAGGACAGTCGCAGCTGATGCTCCTGATGCTCGCTTTCGGGGGCGTGCTTGTGAAGGACAGTCGCAGCTGATGCTCATGATGCTCGCTTTGGGGGGGCGTGCTTGTGAAGGACAGTCGCAGCTGATGCTCCTGATGCTCACTTTCGGGGGCGTGCTTGTGAAGGACAGTCGCAGCTGATGCTCATGATGCTGGCTTTGGTTGCCCGGCTCCTAAAGGACAGTCGCAGCTGATGCTCATGATGCTCGCTTTGGGGCCCGACCCTGGAAGGACAGTCGCAGCTGATGCTCCTGATGCTCGCTTTCGGGGGCGTACTTGTGAAGGACAGTCGCAGCTGATGCTCATGATGCTCGCTTTGGGGGGGCGTGCTTGTGAAGGACAGTCGCAGCTGATGCTCATGATGCTCGCTTTGGGGCCCGACCCTGGAAGGACAGTCGCAGCTGATGCTCCTGATGCTCGCT